TATATATATATTAATATATAAATATAATATATTTATAATATATATATATATATATATATATATATATATATATATATATATATATATATATATATATATATATACCTAACTATACGCTTTAACCAAACCTCCACACTGCCGCATTTCCCTGCTGGGGTCTCCGTTCCTGGACCCCCGCCTAACTTGATCTGATGTGACCTAACCGCGCCCAACACGACATAGCGTAACCCATACCAGAACCTTTCACCGTGTGCCCCATGCCTTCGTGATCTATTGTATCATATTATGATAGACAGGTAGATGTGATGTGATGTAGGAGTGTTGCTAGTATGGTATGTACAGTATTTTGACCACTGATTATTGAACTTTCATTTGCTTGTTCACCAAGCAACTACGTCAGACACGTGATATTTGCACCGGTTTCTTAACAGTACAGCGGCAAAATCCTGTTGGCGTTGGCGGTCCTCCTGGCGGCCGCCACAGCGTCATCGGGAAAGGACCTCAACACCAGAATGACTCCCGGGGAGAGGACTCAAGTATTCGCGAAGATGAAGGAGAGGTACAAAAGGATCGAGCCTGCTTGCGTTCCCCCCGAGCATCCCGGTGAAAATACTAGTAAGTTGTCTGGGGATGATATCTTGTAGCGATTTATTTTTGATCTGCTTTAACTATTTCCTCTCAACCATATTACTGATATTTATATTCGGTCAATAAAACACTTCTGAAAGGGTTGTAATATTTTTTTCCAAATCATAAAGAAGGTCTGTGGAGTATCTCAGGCAGTTCTTCAACATGTGAGATTGTCCTCTCATGCATTCTCACATACGATTTTACGAACGTCCAAGAGGAAAAGAAAGAGGAGCCACACGAGTCCATTAATGTGTATTGATAATATTCGTTAGTTAGGATGTGCCTGTGTAGCTTGCTTGTGAAAGAGTGCATTGCGGGTCCGTTTGCTGTTATGGAACGGCTCCAGTTACGAAGGGTGTTAATGTGGTATTTCTAGTGTTGAGAGAAGGTAAGTATTCCATTAAATATTAATGTGATCGTTTGTGATTTTGCATTCTTTAAATAGTCTGCAGTTGGCACTGGCCTGAAAGGTGTGATGGAGCTGGATATAGACCCTGGATCATTTATACAAAAAAGGGCCTAGAGGAAGACCCCGCAAGGCCCCAATTTAGGGACGTCTAAAAACGTTCATTGACTCTAAGATTTTCATGGTCTTCGTCTCTGACGGTCTAAGATCGATCTTAATGGTTTCGTTGCTAACTGGTCTGGTCACATTTCCGAGTTAACCCTGTGATGGTAATTCATTAGAATGATATATTAAATCATATATTACAATGCATCTTACTTTTATCATGATTATAATAGTACATATTTCATGTCTGAGCAGTATACATTGCATCCATCATTTTTGTTGTTATCGTGCAACAGTGCAAGTTATTACATGTGCCCTTTGTATATCTCAATCAGAATATTATAGCTGTGTTAACGTCTATCTTATTATAACTAATGCGGTTTTCTGTAGCATATGTAAAATTTCATCAACATTGTCCCCGTTTCATAAGAGTTCAAACAAAGCCCCTACACGTATGAGGCACCCTCAGATCTGTTGTAAACGTCGGCCAATTCATGGAAAAATCTCGGTTGTCAAAGACATTTCCTTGAGATATCATAGGCAAAATTTAGGGGTCAAAGACATTTCATCTGTCAGCCACACATCTCGAAAGGCATTGCCTCTCAAGAATTTGGAACGAAAAAGCGCCGCAGCAAAGACTACGTTTTAAGTTGTTTCGCGATTCACATTGTGTTTGTTTATAGTGTACTCTAGACTTCTACATGTGGTGGGGATGGTTGAGGGGTTCAACTCCGGAAAACTCTTGAAAACTGAGGTGATATTTGTGAAAGCCAGTCTTAGGAAAGTGCCCAAGAAGAAATGGACTCGGTGAAGATGGTCGGCGGAAAGATCAGGTGTATCCTCATACGCATGCGTAATTATTTTGATTAATTGGTGAAAAAATAGTAGATGAAAATTTGTAAATAGTGAAACTAATAATCCTCTAAAAAACAAACCACATTAAAACATTTTATATGCTGCATATAGGTAATTGATTAGGGACGGGTGCTGGGTGAGTCCAGAATCATATTTTTAATCTATTTTAGTTTTAATTATTTATTTAACTATCTTTACTAAACCACACCTATTAGGTGTGGTTATAGCTTAAGAATGCCTATTAGTACACCGCTCGCCTACCCGCCCTTGCCCCAGCCCCAAGAAAAAGCTGAAACGACGCCCCAACCGCAGGAGCGGATCCATGGAGGGGGGGGAGGGTTACGCCCCTTATTTTTTGCAGAATGATCTTTTTGGGGGGCTGAGTTGTTCTTAGCTGTTTCTTTCTTGTATCCACACTAAGGATAGGTCTATGGACACCTGAGCAACCGTTAGAAGCTTGAACGAGGAATACACTACGTTCTAAATGGTGGTGGCTTCCACATCCCCACGCCCCTTAACGAAATGCTGTCACATGAGGGAGCAGAGGCGGACACATTAGCTTTATATACATGTCATCTTATTATTACTTGTATTGTGCATTATATTCTTTTTGAAATTGAACGAGGCACGGATGCAGCAAAAATTTGAACTACTGTTATCATAGTTTACCATGAAAATTAGCAAGCTAACAGAAAATGAAACAATTTAAGTAAAATATTTTGGGGTTGACTAAAATAAACACAAAAGACTTTTAGTTAAGAGCACGGTGAATGTTTAGCTTCAAATCCATTCTGTCTTTCTCAGAGCCACTGCCGACGGCGCCGGACTCGTTCACCACGAACGTCGAGATAGCTTTCCAAGAGAAAAAAATGAAGGTCATTTATGGAGCCGAGAGTTTCGACGGCGTCTTGAACACAGGAGTCCTTCGCTACGAGTTATGTGAGTCCACAGGCACACACTCGACAATCTATGCGTACCAATAAAAATTGAGGCAAAAAGGTGAATGGAGAGATGGGTAGATAAATAGACACGTAAATCGGCTTGATTGACAGATATATGAATAAACAGTACGTTAATAAATGTATGAATAAACAGATAGTTAAAAACAAAGATGTATACGTATAATGCTGCCTGTGGATAAATAAGTAGAGGACAGAGAGAATGCGCATAGCCATCGGTATATGTATAATTGTGTGCAGGTAAGTGATAAATGCAAATTGGTTGTTAGGCGGGCATGTAAATATGCATCTACTCTCCATGCATCCTTATAGATCCTTTATATTATGCTTAATTGATTAAGTGCAGTTAATTCTTACCGATGCATGCACATGATAAGTACTTCGACTCCAGAATAAAGCACGCAGTTAGGTATAAATCCAAACTAAATCGGCCGCCGCCCACTGTTGCCGAAGAGCCCGGAGGCGCCGCTGGAACTTCCTTCGTGGACACTGGATATGGCAACCATTTGACGATGACGATCCAGGTGGTTCGGTTCCAGCAGTTCAGGAGGGCTGGCCACAGGCCTCTCCGGCGAGTCGTCATAGCAACACTCACTGAATTAAACGGCGGGAGAATCAGTTTTATTCAGGATTGATATGACGGCCTCTCAGAATGGGAAGAGGAGTCGAAAAGGTGTAAGGAAAGCAGGTGGACAGATAGATGTAGAGACACAGTATTTAGATGATGTCATTAGTTATACATACTTTCTACATTTCACCCCGAGGGTTGCGTGGCCCTGAACATGTTTTCCTCCTGACCCCCAGCCGAAGGCATCATTCTAGGAAGACCTAAGGACGTGCAAAAGGTAATCCACTACAGCATCCCAGGGGACGAGGCTCTTTTCATCATCGCTAATGAGGCGTGTGAGGATGAGGGAGAGGAGAACTGCGACCCCAGTAAGTCCTGCCGATGTGGTCTTGATTCAGATATTGTAATATTTATGAATTTTCTCGCAGCTGTATTCCAGATCTATATTTCTATCTCATGTTTTTATTATCTTTTATGCAGAAATATATACCATGTTGTTACAGAAATAAATATTTCAAACTGATATTTGAAAAACTATGTTGCTATTGTAGAAATGGTGCGGTTGTACGAAATATACATGCATGGAACTATTAAGGTATGGGTATATATATATATATATATATATATATATATATATATATATATATATATATATATATATATATGTATATATATATGTATATATATATATATATATATATGTGTGTGTGTGTGTGTGTGTGTGTGTGTGTGTGTGTGTGTGTGTGTGTGTGTGTGTGTGTATACATATATATATATATATATATATATATATATATATATATATATATATATATATAATATATATATATATATATATATATATATATATATATATACATATATATATATATATCTTTACATAAATATATATATATATATTTATATATATAAATATATACATAAAATATATATATATATATATGTATATATATATATACACATATATATATAAACATATATATATATATCATCATCATCAGCCTGAGTCAATCCACTGCAGGACGTAGGCCTCTCCCATTCTTTTCCAGGTTTCCCTGTCATGCGATGTTTGTTTCCAGTCTTCCCCCAAATTTCGCTATTTCGTCGCGCCATCGTGTCATTGGTCTGGCTCTTGGCCTCCTTAAGTTATTTATAGTCCAGTCTGTTACTTTCTTTGTCCATCTATCGTCTTGTCTCCGACATACATGCCCTGCCCATTGCCATTTCTTCTTTTTAATGCTCTTGAGTATATCTTCTACCTTCGTCTGTTCTGATCCACGTCGCCCTCTTCCGATCTCTCAGGCTAATTCCCATCATCGATCTTTCCATCCCTCTCTGGGCGCTTATTAGTTTCCTCTCCAGTAACCTGGTTGTAGTCCATGTTTCTGACCCATAGGTCATAACTGGGAGGACGCATTGATTAAAGACTTTTCTTTTAAGCACAATGGCAAGGAACCTCTTAGTGTGCTACTGTGCCTGCCGAAGGCACTCCAGCCTAGACTGATTCGTCGCTTTATTTCCTGTTCACTTGATGTGCCTGTCTGCACGAGTTGTCCTAGGTATATATACCTGTCTACTACCTCTAGTGCTTCGCCTTGTACATGTATTTGTTTGAGTGGGACTCTGCTGTTGAACATAACCTTAGTCTTTTTCTTGTTCATCTTAAGTCCGACTTTTAGGCTTTCTCTATTCAGATCGTTTATTAATTGCTGCAGTTCATCAGCTGATTCACTAAGGAGAACAATGTCGTCTGCAAATCTTAGGTTGTTTAGGTGTTCATCTCCTATTTTGATACCCTTCCCTTCCCATTCTAGTTTCTTGAATATTTCCTCGAGGCAGGCTGTAAACAGCTTTGGTGAGATGGTGTCGCCCTGTCTAACGCCTTTTTTAATTGGTATTTTATCGGTTTCTGTGTGGAGTTTGATGGTTGCTGTCCCATCTTTGTATATATCTTCCAATATATTACAATATACCTCCTCAACTCCCTGTTGTTGAATAGCACCTAATACTGCTGGTATTTGTACAGAGTCAAATGCCTTTTCATAATCGATGAATGCCATACACAGGGGTTTCCTATATTCGTTTACTTTTCTCTTATTTGGGTGAGCGTGTGGATGTGATCTGTTGTTGAGAATCCGCTGCGGAAGCCTGCCTGTTCTCTAGGCTGGCTGGAATCCAGACTGTCAGAGATGCGAGCTGTAATGACTTTCGTGAACAGTTTGTAAGTAACCGAAAGGAGGCTTATGGGTCGGTAATTTTTTAAATCCTTTTTATCGCCTTTTTTGTGTAACAAGATAATTGTTGCATTTTTCCAGGCTTTCGGAGTTTTTCCGCCGAGAAGACATTTGTTAAAAAGATTGGCTAGTTTCACTGTTGCGATGTCTCCTGCATCTAATATGAGGTCTATACTAATTCCGTCTTCGCCTGGTGTTTTCCCTCTCTTCATGCCTTTAAGTGCTCTTTTTATTTCTTCTTTTGTGATATTAGGTACGTCGCTAGTTACCGCGTTTGCTTCTATTTGTGGCTGTTCGTTTGAGTTGTATAGATCCCTGTAAAAGTCTTCCACTACTTTGATGATTTCATTCTTGTTATGTGTTACTTCTCCGTCTGGTTTCTGAATTGCATACATTTGATTTCTCCCTATTCCTAGTCTTCTTTTAGCTGCTTTCATGCTGGTACCTGAAATCACTGCTTCATTTATTATTTGAGTATTGAATTTCCGTACATCTTCCTCTTCTTTTTATTTATGGTCTTTGTTAGTTCAACCAATTCTATCTTGTCCCTATTTGACGATACTTTCATGTCTCTACGTTTTTGCATAAGCTGTTTAGTTTCTACCGAGAGCTTGCTGGAGCTTCGATTGTCGTTCTTTCCGCCTACTTCAAGTGCAGCTTCTTTTATTATGTCATTGAACTGTTTATTGATTTGGTCGATGTTGAGATCTTCGTCGCGGAGGAGTGAATATCTGTTTTGGATGTTTAGGCTATATTCTGTTGCTCTGATCCTCAAGTTAGCCAAGTTTGGCTGTGGTTTACTCATTAGGTTGTTCCTTTCCCTTCTGAGATGTATTTTAATTTCGCCTCTCACCATTCTATGGTCGCTGCCTACATTTACTTTATTTATAACCTCTACATTTTTTATTATATCGCGCCTATTTGAAATTATGAAGTCAATTTCGTTTTTGATGTCAGAAGGCGACTTCCATGTCCACTTCCGTTCTAGTCTTTTTTTGAAGAATGTATTCATGATACTGAGTGATCGAGCCTCCGCAAATTCGACTAGCATTTGTCCCCTCTCGTTCCTAGTGCCTATTCCATGGTTCCCTACTGCGGTTTCGCCCTCTGTCTTTTTACCTATTTTGGCATTAAAATCCCCCATAATTATTGTGAAATGGGATTTTCTCTCGCTGGCTAAGTGAACATCTTCATAGAAGCTCTCTATGTCTTCATCACTGTGGCTGCAGGTTGGAGCATAGACTTGAATAATTTTTAAGTTGTACCTAGTGTTTAGTTTTATTGTTACAGAAGCCACTCTTTCGCTGACACTATAGAATTCTACAATGTTCTTTTCTAAGCGTTTGTGTATTAAGAATCCTACCCCTAATTCCTGTTTGCTACCCAGAGGTTTTCCTCTCCAGTAGAGCACGTGTCCCTCATTTAATAACTTCTGCTCTTCACCAAGTCTTCTAACTTCGCAGAGTCCTACTACATCCCATTTAATGGAAGAGAGTTCCTCTAGTAAAGCTAGTAAGTCGGATTCAGTTCTCATGGTCCTTATATTGTATGTGCAAAGGTTCATCAACGTGGGCGGCCTGTCTTTACCCGGATATTTTTAGCACCCCTGCTCCGGAGCGATCCTGATCGCCGCCGTAACCAGGGGCTCCTTCGTCTCCGGGGAATGGGGGCCGTTCCTGAATATTTTGTCTCATGCTTGGGAGGTGGACAGCCGATTTACCTCCCACCTACTGGCTTAGGTGT